ATGGTTACAGTGGATGTAAGATTATATTTTAAATTAAGTACATTACATGTGTGTATATAATTTTTTAGATGGTATTTCTTATTCCAATGCTCATTTTGGTGCTGGTAGTGGTAAGATATGGATGGATGATGTAGCTTGCAGTTCTTCATATAATAAACTAATATACTGTCCTAGTTCAATACTGGGTACTAGTAACTGTGGTCATTCTGAAGATGCTGGAGTCAGCTGTCAAGGTATTGAATTACATTATTATATGAGTATGTAATTCTTTTAATAGCTCCTTGTACTGATGGACAGATCAGGCTAGCAGGAAATACTAATGTTCCTCAGGAAGGAAGAGTAGAATATTGTTTGAATAATAATTGGGGAACAATTTGTGATAGCTCCTGGGGAGCAACTGATGCTCAAGTAGCTTGTCGTCAATTGGGATATCTAACAGAAGGTAATTAGATATTTTATTTTCAACAGCAATTAAAGTGACATGCCCTCACATTTAGGAGCTATTGCTTATAGTTCAGCTAAGTTTGGTTCTGGCACTGGTCCAGTATATTATCATTATTTTGGTTGCAGTGGAAGTGAAGCTACTCTAAGTGCATGTAGTAAAAGTTCTGGATCAAGTTGTTCACATTCACGAGATGCTGGTGTGAGATGCCTTGGTAAAACATGATTTCTTGGTATTTTATTTATAATTTACTTCTTATGTAGTTAATTCAACTGTGAATTGTACTTATGGTGATGTTAGATTAGTTGGTGGATCTAATCAATATGAAGGAAGAGTTGAAATATGTATTAATGGAATATGGGGTACTGTCTGTGATGATAGTTGGAGCTCTACTGATGCTACTGTTGTGTGTAAACAATTGGGACACAGCTATACTGGATGTAAGATAAAATTTTAAAATTGTATGAATCTATAAATGATTTTTAGCTGGTGTTGCTTATTCCAATGCTCATTTTGGTGCTGGTAGTGGCAAGATATGGATGGATGATGTAGCTTGCAGTTCTTCATATAATAAACTAATATACTGTCCTAGTTCAATACTGGGTACTAGTAACTGTGGTCATTCTGAAGATGCTGGAGTCAGCTGTCAAGGTATAAAGTTAAGTGCTTATGCTTTTATTTTTGTATTTCTAGCTCCATGTACTAATGGACAGATCAGGCTAGTAGGAAATACTAATGTTCCTCAGGAAGGAAGAATAGAATATTGTTTGAATAATAATTGGGGAACAATATGTCATAATTCCCTGGGGAGCAACTGATGCTCAAGTAGCTTGTCGTCAATTGGGATATCTAACAGAAGGTTTGCAAAATTGACAACTATAGAGTGAGTTTCAGTTTTGTTACTTCTTTAGGAGC